CTGCCACATTTGGATTGTGGTGATTGGTAGAGCAGAATGTTTGGATTGTCGTGATTGGCAGATCGGCATGTTTGGGTTGTGGTGATTGGTAGAGCAGAATGTTTGGATTGTGGTGATTGGCAGATCAGCATGTTTGGATTGTGGTGATTAGTAGAGCAGAATGTTTGGATTGTTGTGATTGGCAGATCGGCATGTTTGGATTGTGGTGATTGGTAGAGCAGAATGTTTGGATTGTGGTGATTGGCAGATCGGCATGTTTGGATTGTGGTGATTGGTAGAGCAGAATGTTTGGATTGTGGTGATTGGCAGATCGGCATGTTTGGATTGTGGTGATTGGTAGAGCAGAATGTTTGGATTGTGGTGATTGACAGATCGGCATGTTTGCATTGTGGTGATTGGTAGAGCAGAATGTTTGCATTGTGGTGATTGGTAGATCAGCATGTTACAGTTTTGTAATTGGCAGATCAGTCTGTTTACATTGTGCTGAATAGAAGATCAGCCTGTTTGCATTGTGGTGATTGGAGAAAGTGCATAACTGTGGTGATTGATGGTGCTATATGGTGATTTGTGGAAATCTGCATTCTCCCATGTTGTAATTAGTAGAGCTGGTGTGAAGTGTTGAAGAATATTTGACGGTTGGTAATTGATGTGAATGCATATTTTGAGACTGAAGTATGATTACCATGTAGTGGTTGATACGGCAACATTGTTGTAATGTGATTGGAGCAGAAGTATGTTTAGCATGTAGTGGTTGATGAGGCAACATTGTTGTAATGTGATTGGAGATGAAGTATGTTTAGCATGTAGTGTTTGATGAGGCTACATTGTAATGTTGTGATTAGAGATGAAGAATGTTTAGCATGTAGTGATTAATGAGCAACATTGTTGTAATGGTGTGATTGGAGCAGAAGTATGTTTAGCATGTAGTGGTAGATGATGCAACATTGTTGTAATGTTGTGATCTGAGCAACGATATGTTTAGCATGTAGTGGTTGATGAGGCAGCATTGTTGTAATGTTGTGATTAGAGATGAAGTATGTTTAGCATGTAGTGGTTGATGAGACAACAGTGTTGTAATGTCGTGATTGGAGATGAAGTACATTTAGCATGTTGTGGTCGATGAGGCAACATTGTTGTAATGTTGCGATTGGATATGAAGTATGTTTAGCACGTAATGATTGATGAGGCAACAACGTTGTAAAGTTGTGATTGGAGCAGAAGTATGTTTATTATGTAGTGATTGGTGTAACAACATTGTTGTAATGTGATTGGAGATGAAATACGTTTAGCATGTAGTGGTCGATGAGGCAACATTGTTGTAATGTTGTGATTGGAGCAGAAGTATGTTTATCATGTAGTGGTTGATGTAACAACATTGTTGTAATGTCGTGATTGGAGATGAAGTATGTTTATCATGTAGCGGTTGATGAGGCAACATTGTTTAAATGTCGTGATTGGAGATGAAGTATATTTAGCATTTAGTGGTTGATGCGGCAACATTGTTGTAACGTTGTGATTAATGATTTCAACAATGTGATGATTGGTAAGTTTGCGGTGATTGATGTCATAATTGATACTTACAAGCCACCTGTGATGCTGCCTTAACGAGTCGCAATGTGATATCTTCATCGTAAGTCTCATAGGACACAAACGAATTATCAACTTTAGCTTTCCTTCTGCAATAATGGGAAAAAACACGAACTCACAATCAGTTGACACAATGAAAGATATTATTCTGTATGCAGCTCAGATATATTTGCGAAAGTGACACATTCTAACTTGGTGTAAACAAATTAAAATAGGATTCGTATTGAAAATGTCAAAGTAGAATTATTTTTTGTAGATCGAATTACAATGTCAATGCCCCATGTCTGTGTGCCTCGCCATAATCAGTGGGGTTGTGGTGTCAGGGTAGTATATGTATGTCCGACAGCATATTCATTGGGTCCATGGAGTCCATGTACTATGTGAGTGTGTCTCACCATATTATGTGGGTCCGTGATGTCTGTATTATGTGTACGTGCGACACCATATTCATTGGGTCCGTGGAGTCAATGTACTAGGTGAGTATGTCTCACCATATCATGTGAGTCTGTGGTGTCAGTGTATTATGTGTATGTGCGACACCATATTCATTGGGTCCATGGAGTCCATGTACTATGTGAGTGTGTCTCACCATATTATGTGGGTCCGTGATGTCTGTATTATGTGTACGTGCGACACCATATTCATTGGGTCCGTGGAGTCAATGTACTAGGTGAGTATGTCTCACCATATCATGTGAGTCTGTGGTGTCAGTGTATTATGTGTATGTGCGACACCATATTATTTGGGTCCATGGAGTCAATGTACTGTCTGAGTGTGTCTCACCATATTATGTGGGTCTGTGGTTTCAGTGTATTATGTGTATGTGTGACACCATATTCATTGGGTGCATGTAGTCAATGTAATATGTGAGTGTGTCTCACCATATTATGTGGGTCGGTGGTGTAAGTGTATTATGTGTATGTGTGACACCATATTTATTCGGTCCATTGAGTAAATGTACTATGTGTGTCTCGCCATATTATGTGGGTCTGTGGTTCCAGTGTATTATGTGTATGTGTGACACCATATTCATTGGGTACATGGAGTCAATGTACTATGTGAGTGTGTCTTACCATATTATGTGGGTCTGTGGTGTCTGTATTATGTGTATGTGTGAAAC